GGGGCAGGGGAGGCCTGGATTCCTGGGCCTAAACGCCAGGATACTCAGCTGCAGACACCAGAGCCACTGATGAAGGGGCAAGGCGTGTGAAGGGAATAGAACCTGGGAGAGTCAGGAAGGCAGTGTTCACCTGGCCTGTGCCCCCACAGGGCCCTCCCCCCACCCCCACTGTTAAAGAGATAGAGTCACATTACCAAAATCAGCAAGTAGAACAAAGAAGAAAAACCCTCCACCATGTCACTACCTTCATTCCATTCCTGGTAGTTTATTTCACAGAATTGCCTTCCTGTCTTTTTTTTTTTTTGAGGAGCTAGGTTTGCCAGCTCACCATCTTGGGCAGATCCTGATAGGGATACATGCCCCTATCGTCATAAATCCTGTGTGATTTCCTGGGCTCTAACTTCCTAGTTCTATCATTTATTATATTAGATATTGGGCAAGTGACTTAAGTCCTCGGGACTTTATCACTCAGCAAAATGAAGACAATAATTGTGCCCATCTTACAGGGCTGTTGTAAGAAGCGTAAGCAATAAGTAATACATGTTAGGTGCTTCCGACAGTGTCTGACACATTATTATTTAATTGCTTCATATTCATTATCTCTTCACCAGCTGAAAATCTTCATCAAATTTAAGAATTTTATTATTTAAGTAAATTCCTATTGCTGAGTGAAGTTATTTCCAATATTTTCCTATTATAAATGGTGCACTGAAAATCAAACATCTTTATGTATAATATTTATTTTTATTGTTTAGGCTAGTTTCAGAAATAAAATCCCAGAGTATAAACTTTTTTATGAGTCTTGATCCAGATTATCAAATTATTCATAAACTATTAGGAATTATAAGGCTATTGCAAATGTATGAGGATGGCAATTGTGTATTTGCAAGTAACACGCAGTATTATGAAAAAAATTGGAGGTGGTAATTTATGAGCTCACAATCATATGAAGCAAACCCGATAAATTATCTATTAATTTGAAACTGATCTTTCTGTGTTTGCCAAGAACTAGAGTGGCTCCCAAAGTCCTACTATTAGGGGTTTACTATACCGTCTCTAAGGGGTCTATGCTGGCCCCTGGGAAGCCCCAGGACATTTTTTCTTTGATGTAAGGAAGGAGGCAGTCATCACAGCAGTGAGTCTTACTCACTTCTGAATAGTGCTACACATGTTCAAAGCATTTCTGCATTCTCTCCTTTGGTCCTCACTATAATCCTGCTTTCATCTTAACCATGAATGAGAACTTTAAGGCTCAAAAGAATTTTCAGGTAGGCTCCAGCCATTCAGAGGAAAATAAAGTTGGAAGAACTCAGGTCCTCCATTTCCAAGGGCAATTCTGCTTCCATAGCAGCAGGCTGGAGGGGAGCCAAGGCAGACAGGAGGTGCTTAGGCAAATGACATGTGTGCTGATGGGTCAGAGCACAGAGTCAGCCTGACCCAGAGGTGAACCTTGTCTTCCTTCCCTACTTACAGTCTAAGCGACCCTCCTCGAGTTTCCCACTCCCTTTCTCTGGGCCCCAGAAACACTCATTCCACAGGGATGGACAGGAGAGGAGTAACAGTTCTCTAAGGGTCTTTAAAAATTTTTTTTACATGTCTGTTTATTTTTAAGAGAGAGAAAGAGACAGACAGATAGAAAACAAGTGGGGGAGGGGCAGAGAGAGAGGGAGACAGAATCTGAAGCAGGCTCCAGACTCTGAGCTGTCAGCACACAGCCTGACACAGGGCTTTAACCCACGAACCGTGAGATCATGACCTGAGCTGAAGTTGGACACTTAACTGACTAAGCCACCCAGGTGCCCCTCTAAGGGTCTTTATAATGAAATGATAGTTTGCAAACAGCTGGGGTGTGACCCCAACGCCTCACCACAGTTCACTTCTAAATGCTGACAGTGACAGTTCAGCATAACACACAGATTAGCATCTCATCTTAGAGGTCATGACCTGCCAGACTGAGTAGCTAAAAAGTAATGAACCTGCTGTAATTCCTTACAGTAATTAACATTTTCTGTTCTTTACAGTTTATGTAAAGAACAGAATGGGGGGATAGTTACTGAGGATTTCTGACAGATACAGCAAATAAATGTCATGCATATTATGGAGTCTAATACCCTGCAAACTGGAGAGAAGGATAAACTACAGCAAAACAAAGACTGTGTATCTCTATCTCAGCATGAGAAAAATTCAGTTGATTCTTTAAGTTTGTTCTCTCTCTTTTATCATCTAGACTTAGGGCAGGGGAAAATTTCTTTTATCCTTTGCTTTGGAGACATCTACTGCAAAACACAAATTCTAACCCCCAATGTCAGTTCCCGTCTCTGGTGGAGAAATAAAATCACCTTGCAGTAACGACTGCCACCTTGTGGCCACACAGGAAACTATCACTAGGAAAAATAAACCACCAATGCCTAATAAAGATTTCATCTGCCGAACATTGTACAAATTCAGTGTGGCCACCAACAATTTGTTATATTGTATAATTTATATTCTTCCAGAAAATCCTGCACTGTTTATGCTATGTTCACTGTGCTCTCAATGTGTTTCAGGCTTATTTCTTGTTCTACTCTTCCATAACACAATCCAATTGTGGTGAGACTTCAGGCAGCTCCTATAGAATCATGGGGATCTCCTTTGGCAGGCAGAAGTCCCCTGGAGTTCTTTGTTCATTATAGTAGCTTGAAATGATGGCTGCTGCTCCACCAGACTAAGTTCACTAACTGCCTGTCCACTCTCTGATTCAAAGGTTATCAGCCAGTTTAGATCATTTAACTTACTATCTTAGAAAACCATCTACTCTTTGGCTCAGGCCCCCCAAGATGATCTGAGTGTAGCCCTCTCTGGCTGTGTGATTCATGGTATGAGCCTGAGGCTCAAGCTTGAAATGCAGGCAGACGACTGGTATCAACAAAATGGTACCATCTTTCTTGACAAGGCTGTTTTCAAGCCTGAGCTACTACCCCTCTCCCCCCTGAGATAACAGCTGGATGAGAGAGGTGAGGATTGTGGAGTGCTTTTTGTAGGCAAAACACAGAGCACAGGAAATACAATTCCAAGGCTTCTCCAGGAAGCAGAAAGGATGAGCACAACTGGAGCTCCCAAGGAACCCAGGACCACAGAGATGGGCAGCCCAGAATCAGGCAAGGAAGTAGGGGCAGTGCGGGCTCCAGGGATGTTTGACCAAACCACAGACCATGAGGTGAGAAGGGTGTGGCCTCCCAGAGTCCAGACCATGAAGGGAAGGAGGAAGGAGCATTAGCCAACTCCCCAGCTTCTTCCAGTACGCTCGGACGGCATGAGAGTGCACGCCCTTAGTACATCCTGTCTCTCAGCTCCTAGCCTTCCCTGCCCCATCCCTTTCTCCAGGCTACACAGGGTCAACAGTACAGATTCGAATACGGGTGATCCTTACACGTCTGTGAATGAGTGTTCAGCCTCACTCACAGTTAGAGAAATGCCAATTAGAACTCTGAAGAAACCATTCTGTAAATATCTCTGATCATCAAAATGATAGACTATGTGGCATGAAGGGACAGCGGGGGAAAGAAGCCTCGTGCATGGCTTGGAAGTGAACATTTAAAAATATTGTGGGGCGCCTGGGAGGCTCAGTCAGTTAAGCGTCCGACTTCAGCTCAGGTCATGATCTCATGGTTCATGGGTTCAAGCCCCGCATCAGGTTCTGTGCTGACAGCTAGCTCAGGGCCTGGAGCCTGTCTTCGGATTCTATCTCCCTCTCTCTCTCTGACCCTCCTCTGTTCACGCTGTCTCTCTCTCAAAAATAAATAAAACAGTAAAAAAAATTTTTTTAATATGGTAAGCAAGAGATAAGAGCCTGGGCTCTGCAGTCAGGGTGCCTGGTGTCAAAACGTTCACCTCTTGGAAGGTAAATTTCTTTGGGTCTCAGTCTCCTCTGGAAAACTGGGAGTGGTCTAAAAGAACTTACTTCCCAGGGATACTCTAAGGACTAAATGAGATAATGCTCATGGACACTTCGAACAGTGCCTGGTATATACATGATAACATGTTAGCTATCTTGAACTGCTCTGGGGAAAAAGGTCAATTGGACTCAGTCAAAATTTTAAATGCACATACCACTGGCCAAGCGATACCACTTTTAATAGTATGTCATATAGATTTAAAAGGACAATATGTAAAGATAAAAGTACAAGGGGGCTCACTGCCACACTGATTCAAATAAAAAGACTAGGCACAATCTAAACGTGAAATAATAGGAAACGAGTAAAATAAATTATGTCCTGGTCTTAAAATGGAATACTATGCAGCTATTTAAAAAAAATTTTTTTTAATGTTTATTTAGTTTTGAGAGAGAGAGAGAGAGAGAGAGAGAGTGAGCAGGGGAAGGGTAGAGAGAGAGAAAAAGACAGAATCTGAAGCAGGCTCCAGGCTCTGAGCTGTCCACACAGAGCCTAATGTGGGGCTCAGACTCACACAGTGAGATCATGACCTGAGCCAAAGTCAGACACTTAACCCACTGAGCTACCCGCACCCCACTATGCAGCTATTTTAAAAATAAGGCAGCTGGAGGGGCACCTGGGTGTCTCAGTGGGTTAAGCATCCGACTTTGGCTCAGGTCATGATCCCATAGTGGGCAAAGTATCCTGCCATTTGTGTTTTTAAAAAATACAGATGAATATATGTAGTATGGGTGTATGCTTCCATATGCAACAAAGTCTCTGGAGAGCTAGATGATGAAATTAGTAATAACATTTCCTTTCAGAGAAAGGATATAGGTAATGAAAGGATGCTTCTATTACCAGTTGCAGAAAGTTAGCTTCTTTACAGTTAAAAAATACAATCTGATCTGTCATTCATCAGCTTACATTTCTTCCATTTGCTCTCAGGACTGTAATCCAAGCTCCTTCACAGAGCCCAGAATGGGAGTTCATCCTTCTCAGGTCTGAGGCCCTTCTTTATGAAATCCTTAACATCTCAACTCTTTAAGAAAGTTGGCCATTGAGGTGATGAATGTGAGTCCTACTTACAGGTGTTTGAAAGCAGCAGAATAACTGAGTGAGGAAGGGGTGATTGCGAGCCAAGGACAGGATCCTCTTCTCTGTCATTGTGCATTCCACATCGTCATCCTGTAAGATCACATCCTTCTTCAGCACCTTCACGGCATAGAGGTCTCCTGTTTCTTTTATTCTTGCCAGCATCACCTGTGGCAAAGCAGGAGAATGGAGCACAGGTGTGAGAACTCTTGAGCCTCCAAGGGTATAGGAACACACACTTCGCAGCACTTGGGAAGTATGAGCATGTATACACATGCACACTCAAGCAACATACATGTAGCATGCTTACTTTAACCCAGACACTTAAAGCCAAGACTTACCTTCCCGAAACTCCCCTTCCCCAACACTCGGATGAACTCAAAGTTGTCAATACCAAGTCGGCTGGAAGAATTTACCCCGATCCCATTTCCTTCTTTGGTGCTCTCCCTTCCCTGTCGTCTTAGAGTCGACCTGGAAATGAGCTTCTGCAAGTAAAAGTAGGAAAACAAGGAGTCAGAAGTCACAGCACGAGCATGGAACATTTATGGATGGAGAAGACGTTACTGGCTGCCTCAACCCTCGACACAACAGGTGGGGAAAGATCAATTTAGCTTAACAGGTTATCAGATTCTGCCATGCGAAACTACCTCAGGACCAGCTCGCGATTTGTGCTGACTATATTTGGGAAAGAATAATTAAAAAATATATCTAAGCCACTGAGAGTTTCAGTTTGAGCTCAACTGGGAGTGTATAAAACACAGACGCCTTAGTCTGGTGCAGTGGCTTCCTATAGGATGGTCAGGTTCCAAGAGCGCCACCTGGTGTCCATTTAATTCAAAGAGTGCTTTTCATATTCGCTCAGAGGATCCATACCAGGATGTTGAAGGAATGAAGGAATATTTACTACACAATATTTAAACTTATATAAGAGAAATAAAAATCAATATAAAAACTAGAATAATGGATGAATGTAGGAAGGATAAAATTTTAAACACCTCTAATTTCGTTTGCTGCCCCCTCCAAAAATAAAAAATAAAAGCAATTATACATACATACCTATCTTTACACTTGATTAATTTTTAAAGATATAATAAAATAGTTGTTTCGTAACACACATTTTTATTTAACATTCTGCCATGTGATATCCTTCAATAACATGAGCTTTAAGGGCTGTTCAATATTTTATTTTATGGCTACACCACAGTTTACTCATTAATTTCCTTGCTACTGGAAACGTAAGTTATCTCCCATTTTTTGCTAGTTTATCATCATAAACACACTTGCATGCAAATCTTCAAAACAGGGTGATTAAGAATCCAGGCTCTGAAGCAAGCTCACTGGATTCAAATTACAACTCAGTCACCTAATCCTGTAACTTTGGCCAAGTTATCTACCCATCCCCTCCATGCCTCAGTTTCTTCTAACAAAGATGATGTTATAGCATCTGCCATGCAAGTTAAGAGAAATGAATAAAAGCATATAAAGCACTTAGACCGGTTCCTGGCCTATTTGATACATATGAACTGAGCTGCTGTTATCATGGTCATGATCATCATCTATTTTCTTAAGATAACTTTCCAGAAATGGAATCTATCGGGCCAAAATGTTAATTTTGAAGACTTCTGATACAAAACTGTCACTATTCTGAACCAGAAACAGGTGTGGCCTCCTCAGTGGATAACTCAGCCCCAGGAACAAGCCCTGTCACAGCGAGGGAGCTTCCTAAAGGCAAGGTGACTCACAGATGGCCACCTTGGGACATTTATAAGATAAGCTACCACCAGACAACAGACCAAAAATCTAACACTCCGAAGCTTTTGACCTATTTAGCTAAAAAAAAGACCAGCTTCCCTGAACCAACTTCTAAGCAATGTTTCCAACAAACAACTGTGCAATTGCTTGAAGCTACAGGGATTTTACTTACTCAATCCAATGAAACAGTGATTACAGATTATCAAATGGATAGACTGAAAAACTCTGATTGTTTTTAATAGTTTCCCCTCCAGGTCTCTGCTCAAGAATATTTCAAAGATAGAAAATTTTACTGGCTTGAGTCTCACTTCCTCCACTTAAATACTTCTCCTGGTTGGGCTGATACTGGCCAGAATACTCTAAGCCAATATTTCTCAATCCTTTTTTTTTTTTTTTTTTTTTTTAGCTCTTTCTTCTCTTTTGATAAACAAGGTTTTTGTCATGCTTTTCTGTCAAATAACAGGTAACTGGGTTTTTGCACTCTGAAACAGAATATCAAAGATACTTGGTTCAAGTGACAAATGACAAATGGCATTGCCCACCCAAGAGGTTTTGCCACATGGTCTATCTTACTCTTAGTACATTTTAGGAGCCCTGGTGCAGGCTGAAATCCTTAACCTATGCTCTTCAGGAAGAAATACCCCTCATGGTATTAGAATCCTGCATGTCTATCCATGAACTAGACATTGGACTTCGCTAATGCTTTCCTGAAATAAAGGAATACAATGTCCATCCAAGGCCCTAATCTACCAGTAATAAGGAAATGGGGTGGTGAGTACAGACATTTTTCTGAATAACCAAGAACTTGACTGTGATTGTGCTTCTCTTCCTAAGTACCCAGAGATATTTAACAGTTAAGTCTAGAATTTTCCTCAACCAGATATCAAGCTACCCCTTTCATAAACCACAACAGTAGCCATGGCTCTTTCCTAGCACTCTGCAGACCCAGCGCTAGGAAGGTAGCAAAAGGACGTGGGCTGGGAAGTGGTCGAGGCTCTAACAGTCGATAGCAAGTGGAGGTCACTCAAGGAGGCTAGAAGACAAAACACATCCACAGCAACTGACAAACTCCACCCACTCCCCAGAGCCAGGAGGAAGGAACTCCTGTTTGTCGCTGAGCTTGAGAGATAAATTCACAATCCATAAACAAAACCTGTGGAACAGCTAGACTCCAGGACTGTGGAGAATCTCAGAGATCTTCAAGTTCAACCCCTTAGGAGAAGAGGAAGCTGAGGCCCATAGTTGCTGGTCAACTGTGCTGCCAGGGCCCGAGCTGAGAACTAAGACTCAGGGCGCTGGATTCCAGGGTTTCATCAGACCACACTGAGAGGAAGCTAATTACAAAAAAAAAAAAAAATTTTTTTAAATCCTTCTGCTTCCTGCTTGTCATTTCTTGTCTTATGATTGTGTAAAGAATCTTCTTTTTGTAGACCAAAATGCTCTTAAAAAATACAATAAATCTGTAAATGTCTTTGCTGAGATTAGGAACCTTGATTATGCCACATTCCCTCATTTGGACTCACAGCATCTGAGCAACTCCTAAATTACAATACAGTGAAAAAAGCAAAGTCTCACCGAGGTTGGAGAAATATTTCCGGGCTGGAGGCCCATGCCGGCCAGGGTCTTGGCTAGCTCCACCGCATTCACCCCACAGTTAGGGGCCACGTTTGCCTGGCATCGGATGTGGACATTCATCTTACATACTGGAGGGGAGAGGAGAAGGGAATCCATATTCAGGAAGGAGCCAAGCCAACATGTGCTGCAAAAAACAACTGCCACACCTGAAAGATGATGACAGAGGAATTCTACAGGCTGAGCAACACCCCCTTCTCATGAAACTGAACTTGCACTCAAAACAAACGTCAAAAACAATAGACGTTTTCTCTATGTCTGCTTTGTGCAGAAGTGGAAAGTCTGGCATCCTGACAAATAATAAATTTCAAATCCATTTTTTTCCACTGTGACTTGATGAAAGACATTCACCTAAATCATGTGTACTAGGCATTCCTGATTGAACAGCACAGTTCAATACAGAAAACAAAACATTCATCACAGTGACAATCCAGTCAATTAGCTAACAAGGAATCATACCAACCGACTTTATGCTTTTCCTTATATTGCTCAATAAAAAATAGCAATCTAAATGCCACATATAGGGGGCTGTTCAAACAGGATGGAGATGGCGTTTCTGAGAGAAAAACCTCTAAGTGCAGCTTTCTTTCCGAGTACTGTTGTGGTTGGGTGGCCCTTGCAGCACAGGACGCAGCATCCTGTGGGGGCTGTGCTTCTCAGCGCTCACAGCCTGTGGTTCTAACTACTTCATGGGGGAGAAAAGCAGCTTTTTTAAAGGTCAAAGTAAATGGCAGTTGGAAGAGGGGAGAAGCAAGCTCAGTTCCTGGTGCACAGGAAACTGACTCAGGAGGATGAAGGACCCAAGGTTTAATCAGCAGAAAGTTCTGACACAGTTCCTACCACGGTACTGCCCATGGGACGTAGGACTGTAACAGCAAGGAGCAAATTCCTGGAGCATCAACCTATCTCTGGAAGCATGCACAGACCCAGGTTCTGTGGGGTCAGAATTTCCGTATTTTAGGGTGCCCCTCTTTAAGAAAAAGAATATCCGATCGCATGGAGCTCTGGAAGATACCCTTGCAAGGGAGGGACCCTGAGGTGAAGTCTCATTAGCTTCATGGGAAATCCACCACTCTTGGAATGAGACACTGTAGTACCCTTTCTGAAGAACCAGGTGACAAGAAAAGCAAAAATGATAGGAGATGGATAGCTACATGTGTGCTGCCCTCCAGCCAGGAGGCCAGAACAATGCAGACGAGCCCCACGCGTAGCTCTGCATTGTCAGCAACAACCATACAAAAGCAGAAAGTGACTTCTGCTCTGGAAACCCACACTAGGGGAGACCTTCCAGGTTAAGACCCAGCAGGGCCTGAACCAAAGCTACACATGGGCTGGCTGCTGTTTTGGTTCAAAATAATTATTTCATAGATCTAGGAAAAAAGCATTATTAAATGAAGTTCTAATTTTGCCTTTCCTAAAGACATGTGACTAGTCCCTTTCTGTTGAGAGAAGCAGGTTTGGTAAGTCCAGGCAATAGATAGAAGTCGTCCAGCTGCATTGATACCAACTCTGCCTCCTCCACGGAGTCACTCAGGATTTATCCAAAGCTTAAGGCTCACACTCTCCTGTATTTCAGCACAGGACTGCATCCCATGGTGACCACGTTGTTATGGCAACACCCAATGGGAGATGACTCAAGGCCAACTGTGCCCCAACTCCTCACAGGACAGGAATCAGCCCTTACTCCCAGACCCTTTGCTACAGCCAAAGCTCCTAACTCGGACTGCACTGGCCACAGTTAGTGAAGTGCAAGTCCATGGCTGAAGCTTAAGCATCCTTCACACCACCTACCTCTCCAATCTCTATCAATCTCTTCAAGAAGACCCAGGGCAGCTCTCATTCTGTTTTTACTCAATTCTTGCTTATTTCTGGTGAGGGCACTAGACCTACTCTCTTACCTGTTCTTACTCATAACCCAAGCCTCTCTTTTGGCCACCTCACCTCCTACCACCTTCGACTGCTGATCAAGATCCCATTTTTTTCCCTCTTTCAAATATATGACAATTAGCAGGCATTCAGCACCAAACAGGTGACAGCCAGCGAGACAGAACACTGAATTTAACAACTGACTAAATCTACAGTTAGAAAATATTTAGACCAGAGGTAGCTCTTTTTACATGCTTGACAGGGACACCTACATATAGAACCAGTAAGATTTCATTTACAAAGTGTCCAAAACCACTGGTCCTAGGTCAGTATCAGAACCTATAGAATTCCGAAAGCTTGCAGCATGGTGATCTCATGAAGTGGATACGTAGCAGCCCAGCATCTCACTTTTACACTGAAGTCCTTGTCGCATTATCCCCCAGAGCAGGGAGCCACAGTGATCGCAGAACGTTGGCACTTTGTAGTTGTGGACGTTGAATTTGTGTGGGATGTTGATTCCGAACCTCTGTTCAGCAACCTGTAAAAAGGCAACAGGACTGGAGCTAGCATTCCATGCCAACATCTTTCATGAAGTTGTAACAGGAGCCTCCCAATGCAAAGTGTTACCATGACACCTGAGCTGGGTATATATCCTTTCACTGGACTCAGGCCTTACTCACCAGACTGTGCACATTTTCTAATGAACAAGACTCAGCAGAAAGGGTGTAGTGAGCATTAGATCGTTCACCATTTGGGAAGATAAATAGAAATCAAAACCATTTTATCATCTTTTATATTCAGGCTGTAGATCTCTCCCTGCCAACTCGCCCACACCCATGTCTATTTCCTAGAGTCTCTTAACTTTAGGATTAAACAGGTCTTTTATAGACTATATCCACTTGCTATTACCATGAGTTTTTCCAGATATTGTACTGGTAAGGCAGGGGAGAGCAGGCGGCACCCGGAGAGCGTGGAACTACAGGAAGGATTCATTACAAAGGGACATTCAAGCGGCTTTCTCAGTCCTTTCAGCCTTTGCCCATCTTTTGCATTGTGACAATCTGAGGGCAAAGGTCCTGCTTTAATCTCACAATCTGATTCCAGCAAATAATTAGACCAGGCATATGCTAGATGTGTGCTGTAGGGCATCACTGAGTTCCAAAGTCAGACTCTCCAGGGCATCTGCCAATCTGCTGATTGTCAGCAATATTCCATCCGCTTTCTATCTCCAGAATTTGGAATGTGCCGACCCCAGCTGAACACAATACAAGTTACAAGAATGAGGTTCAGGCATTTCTATATAGCAATGCATCCTCCTTGAAATCTGGGAAGACACTGGAGGAGGTGAGTGGTCGCCTTATTGAGAAAGCACAATTTACAGTTAACAAATACTCATCACATCAATTCTATCCCGTTTAACCCTCAAAAACTGTGTGAAGGAAACATGGATCTCATTTTTAAGGCCGAGCCTGAGAGAGAAGCTACCTAGCAGAGGCTGGATTCCACATCAAATCCTGGTCATGTGATGCCAAACCCAGGGATCAGTCGGTCCCCCAGAAACTCTCTCTGAATTAGCAAAACTGATCCAGCGAGCTTGTCATCAGCTGATCACCAACTGGGGTCAACTCAAGGACAGGTCAAGCTACACAAGCATAGACCTAAAAATCCCATAATATAAAAAGGAGAGAAAATTCAATTCTGATACCACCATCAGCTTCAAAGAGCACGGAAAGGAAGTGGAAAGAGGAGGGAGCGAGAAAAAAAAGAGTGAGAAGTGTGCACGTGAGTTTGTGCAGGTACTGGATTAGCAAACTGCTATCTTCTTACCTTTGAATCCACTTTGTTATTGTTATTTTGGCAAGTGCAGGCCGTAACAATTAGATGGTGGCAGCGCTTATGGACGACACAGGTGCACACTAGGAAATTAAGCCACAATTATACATTCATTGGAGGCTGACAGTCTACCAGTTACAGTAGAGTCAACAAGGGCTGCACCATGCCAAGGTGACTGGATGTGGGTGTCTGGCCCACATGATGACAGCCAGTGCACCCATCTTCCCCACAGTCTTTACGATCACCCTAACTCACACCTCTGCTCACACTCAAACGATCTGCACTCAAGTCCTGAGCTTATTTCATCTTTCCTGGCTTTAATCCTACACCTACCACCACAGGAATCCTCTCACAGTCTAATTCTGGTCACCTTGCCCCGTGATCTAAACCTTCAATGGTTTAGAACATCTGCCAATGAGCAGAGTTCAAATTCACCAGCCAGGTTTCAGGTTCTCCAGAAGCTAGCCAAGCTTACCTGTTACCTTTCTTCTATGGGGGGCTTTTTGTTCCAATAAAAACTCAACTAGTTGCTCTCCCTGGAGCAGTCTTCATCCTCCCTTGCCCACTGACCATATTCTGCTCAATCCCTAGGATTTCGTCTTTGCCTACTGCTTAACTAAAATCTTAAGTTTGTAACAAGACACAACTTAAAAAATGTCTCTTCCATTAAAATATACTATCCCTGGCTCCCCTTTAGAGAGACTAAAGCATCTGTCTCTCCTCAAATCTCTACAAGCCCTAGCTTGCCCTGTCATTTCAAATCTTCCACATCTAGCCCCTAATGCCCTTAGAATTCCTGGGCAGTGTGATGCCTCAAACAAAACAGGCACTCAACTACTTGAATACTTAGAACTTCTGAACAACTTCTTTTCATCTTCATCTGGGTAACTGACATAGTGCAGACAGAGTTCAGTTTGCCATTAAAAGATGAACAATCTGCAATGAAGCAGTATGAAAACACATGCTATTTTTAAGATCTTTCAAACGTGTGGATTTTTAGGATTAAATACATAAATATAGAGGACATGTCAGCAAATAACAATATACTTAAAAAAAAATCTAGCTTTCATCAGACTGAATTTGCAGGAGAACCAAATTGTAAGTTCCCAGAAAACTGATTCTTTTATATGAGGAGATCTCAAAACCATCCCTCACAAAGACAAAACTTACATTCTGAGGAATCTGAGGTTTGCTTGGTTTTTTTCATTAGCTTCGCTAGAGGTTTATCAATTTTATTGACTTTTCAAAGAACCAGCTTTTTATTTGGTGGATTTCCTCTACTAGTTTCCTAATTTCAATTTTATTGATTTCTGCTTTAATTGTATTATTTCTCTTCTTCTGCTCACTTTAAGCTTCTCTCCTTTTTCTAGCTTCCTAAGATGAAAACTTAGATTACTGGTTTCAGATCCTTCTTTCCTAACATATGCATTTAATGGTATAAATTTTCCTCTGAGTACTGCTTTTGCTGAATTCCACAAAGTCTGATAAACTGTATTTTCATTTGTTTCACAAGAGTTTTTATTTTCTCTTGAGTCTTCTTTTCCTCTGTGTTATTTTGGATGTGTTGTTTAATCTCCAAATATGTGGAGTGGGGGGTGCTTTCCAGCTATCTTTCTGATTCATGTGTACTTTAAGTCCACTGTGGTCTGAAAAAATATTTTTTATGATGTCTATTCTTTTAAATTTGTTAAGGCTTATGTCATGGGCCAGAATGTGGTCTATATTAATATTCCTTGTGAACTTAAGAATGTATATTCTGCTGTTGTTAGGTGGGATAGTCTATAAATGTCAATTTGATCTAATTGTGATATCCTTACAGAATTTCTGCCTGCTGGACGTCAGTTACTGAGACAGTGAAGTCTCCAACTGTAACAGTGGATTTGTCTATATATCCTTGCAGTTCTATCAGTTTTTGCTTCTTGTATTTTGATGCCCTCTTGTTAGAGACCTACATGTTAAGGATTATTACATCTTCTGGAAATACAGATCCCTTTATCATTATATAATGCCTCTCCTTACTCCTGAAAATTTTCCTTGACAATCTGCTTTGTCTATTTCCTTTGACCAGTGTTAGCAGGGTATACTATTCTTATCCAGATATTTGGTTTTATGCCCTTTAACAAGATGTGAACACATCTCCTGACCAATGATCTTTCCTGCTCTTTCAACAACAGGTGGCCCACTGAAAATCAGCCTACCAAATATCCTGGCACTAGGTAGAAGATGGACCAGAGTTGATTAAAGGGCATGTGCCTGTGCTGGAGAAGTGCCAAAAAGTGACATCAATTCTCGCCTGTGAACTATGCTGTCAACTGAGGCTGAGATTAATAGCATAAAGTCAATTATTGTTGTCATAACAGTATTTTTTTCTAAATTTGAAAACACAGAATTGCTTAGATGTTAAAATGAAAACTATATCGAAGAATATGTCCTATTCCATTCTAAGGGAAATAATGTTCTACCTCACCTTCTCTAGAGGAGAAGGCTGAATTTCCTTATTACCATGGAGGCTACCACTGCAAGATATGTAGTGCTATTTTACCAATCATCTGTAGAGTGAAAACCAAGAAAAGAGGTACTGTACATATATACTGTGTAATGATGTTCAAGCTAACAACAAGAAAGGCCCAAATAAAAGACAAATCAATCCAGTCTGGCTAAATCTAAGTAAGAGCCTCTTCACTTGTTTCTAACTTTCAACAATTCTCACTTTTTTTTTTTTTTGAAGTTAGAAAATCAAAAAGCAGCTGGGATAATCGCTTCTATTCCCCAAACAGGTAAACAGGCAACACATTGTGCCACTTCTCACCCCTATTAACACTGGGGTTGTAAAAGACAAAAGTTGAGCTTCAAGATTTAAGGGCACTGCTCACAAAATGGCATTACCTTTAGTGCTTTCATGCAGAGGCAAAACTCTAAACAATTAAACTTTATTAGGTATCTGGGCTTTAGGAATAAAAATGTCCCCTCTATGTTGTCTAAAATGTAGCCAAAGTTTGAACCACAACTATAAAGCTGTAATTCTGTACGGGTCTCATCTGACCTGCTATTTATTACAGTATTAATGAAATGTATCCTGTTTCCTCATAGTATAATCAGTTTTTAACAAAGGAACAAGATTAAACATGGTTTTTAAAAGTGTTTTCTTACCTTGACATTGATAACCCTGTTTCCCAAATACTCCCCTGTACAAGACAATAGAGAAAAAAAGTTATCAGTTAAAATATTTCAGCAACAATGCTCCTAAAAGCATAGTACTTAAGGAAAACAAGCGCATGCCATCCTTTGCTCTTTTATGAAAAACACAATTTCAGAGGAGAAGCAAAGATGCAATGATTTCTGAACGCATGTGTGTTACCACAAGACACAGAGGAAGTCACCTGATTAGAATGCTCCAGAGACATGCACAGGTGGGTACTGGTGATCCTCGTTATACTCATGCCCCCCCCACCCCACCTCTGTGGCCAATCCAGGTCCTCATCTGGTCGTGTGACTGAGTCTTAGCCTGAAGCATCACTCCACCACCTTCTTTGGCATTCTCATCCCTATACCATAAAGATGGACAGATAGTGATGCAAACATGGGAGTCCACCACAGCTGCTTGGCCTGAGGCACCCTCCCTCTTCCCTGTGCCCACGTCACCCACATAGAGTCCAAGGTGGGGGGGTACAGAAGTGCTGCTACAAGAGGCCTGTCAGGCCCACAGCTACCATCTTGGTTTCTCCCTAAATATCTTCTCTGGGTGGTGATGACATTATTGTCATTCTCATTTAACAGAGACCCCCTTTTATTAAGTCCAGAGGTTGTGCCAGGCACTAAGCCAAGCTGCTGACATATAGCATCTCATTTAATCCTCACAAAAGTCATGTGAGGCAGCACATATCACAGGAAGGCTCAGACACAGACTCTAAAACCAGAGAGACTACGCATGATTTGGGGCATGTTATTAACTCCTTTGAGCCACGGTTTCTTCATCTATAAAGGGTGATAATGATCACAGTACCTACTTCATAGGGTTATCATGAAGTTAAAGACAGCTGATCATGTAAAATGCTTAGAATAGCGCCTGGTATTTTAAATGCTATACAGAAGTTTATTATACAAGCAAAAAAACCTTATTTTTATGTTACAAACAAGGAGACACTGATGGATTATATAACTTAACTAGGTTGACACTTCTAGTTGGTGATGAGATTGAATGAATGCCAGAGTCCATACTCTTAACGATAATATGTGGCACACACATCAACATTGTGTGTGAGAGAGCAAACGAGCGAGCAGTCGAAGGCTGGTTGAGTGGGAGTTAATGTTTCCTTGGTGGAAAACATTTAGTGAAATTATCAAACAAATTTCCATTAAGAACGTTACTTGAGGTCACAGGTTGTCACCACAAATGCCCAAAGGGGCAGGCAGGGCACATAACGGAGTGAAGCAGAACGCTGTGACATGAAATCAAGAGTGACAGACCTTGTAGGTCAGGTAAACCACAAGGAGAGGTGGATGGCAGCTACCTCGAGTGTACAGACTACTGCAAGGGTGGGAAACGGGTTCAAAGACGCCAGAGCTTCTGAACTGTTCAGTAGGACGTGCAGCAGAAACTGGTTTCTGAAGACAAGCGCTGTGATGGCACATTTGTAGGCATTGTGTCAACAGCCAGCTTAGGGTCTCTGGTTTAGAAAAGACCCTATTTGTAATTTAAAATTCCAGGAACACTAACCTTAGATTCTGACTGCTAAAAGGTATAAAAACCAAAGCAATCACCAAAAAAAAAAACCAAACCCACAAAAAACCCAAAACAAAAAACAAAAAAATACCCACAAAATACAAACTCATTAATCAATACTCAAAAAAATTATTCTGAGCCAAGTGCTTTTGACTTAAACAAAATGACTAAAGTCTGCAACAAAAACCAAGAAGTTCCTTTCATGCTATAGATACTAAATGGCCTTTTCTCCTTCAGAGACGGGGATGTGTGTGTATGTTTGGGGGTGTTTGAGGGGGCATTTCTGTCTTCTCTTTCCAAATAAATGTGCTTAATGTTAGCTCTGATTGAACATAACTATTAACTTAAATTTATTTTACATTATAGATTTGTCACTGAGGCTTAAGCTTCAGTCACATGTATAATGAGATACTGCCCCAATTCATCTAGAAGTTCTTAACTGTAAATGATCTCAATTCCTAAATGCCAAGGATTATGGTATATAATCACTGAAAGATATTACCTTTGGCCATATATCCATAAGGCTGAAGATTACTGTGTGCTCACTTGACCTACAACAATTAACTTCTGTAACTCATCATGTGAGTCATACTTTGTTAAAGGAATACTGTTGTTTCTTGTCTCTTACTCAGGGGCTGATCATCCAATTTATTGATTACTATCTACTGATTGATTATCTCCCCTAATAACTGGTTTTTAACTAGTTCATGATTCATTAGCACTTTTCTCAAAAGGACTAGAAAAAGAAATAACATCTAAAACTTGGATTTACAAATTGTTCAGATTCTTTCTTTTCATTAGGAATTTAAATTGCTGGGTCAATGTATTAGAAGGAAAGACAAAAATCAGATCCTAAAACAATTCTTAATAATCATGCTTCCTTCTAAAACACACATGAGCAGAGGAGACCTGGATTATAGAAAGAAGCTCCCAGGAAGAGAGAAGCCAGGGACTGCTTACCAGATGAACTCCCTGCAGTGAGAGCAGTAGGTGGGCTGCCTCAGGTATGTTGCCATAAACTTGTGTCCATTGATTTGGTGGACACGCCTTCGCATAGCCCTTTGGCGCTTCCTGGTAAAATGTTTGAAGATTCGATCTCTCTGGAGAGTTGCTGTACATTAAAAGAAAGGGAAAAAAGAATAATGTATAATGAATCTAGCTGTACCTAATGTATGAGAAAGTCAAATAGCTCAGATACTCTCCAAATTGTTTCTTTCTTCAAGATGCAAAACACCCCAGAGCATCCTCATGCTTCCTAGTGAGCTTAGGACTCGTAAAATGTAAGGCTAGACCTAAGTGAACTGTGAGATCCCCACTGAATGATTAGAAGTGATGACCTGGAACCAGTCTCCCCAGCACACTCCATGAGTTCCCCAGGGCTCTAATGTTCCAGTATTGGACATCAGCCGGGCCTTCTAGCTCCTGTCCAGCTGGGTGGGACCTCAGGTCCATCAACTGGCTATAACTATGAACAGGCAAAACAGATTTCTCATTGTTTGCCTTTCCTTCTGGCATCCTCACAAACAGAAGGAGGGAATGGCCACAGCACAGTGAGCGCCTTGCCCAAAAGCATCAGTCTTAACACCATCTCTGTCAACCTGGAATGGGTAGAAGTTCACCTGGACTTCGTGCCAAGTTCCTCTTCCAACCTCACATTTTTAAAATGCTGGCCCCTAGTCTAAAGAATCAAAACTGCTCACCATCTAAAGATAGAAAATTAACTTTCCTAATGTTTACAGAGACTTATGACTAATAAAACAAAGACTACTTCTTCAAGAATGCTGTTTTGGGGTGTCTAGGCAGCTCAGTTGGTAAAGCGTCCAACTCTTGATTTCGGCTCAGGTCATGATCTCATAGTTGTGAGATCCGGCCCCCCAGTGGGCTCTGGGCTGGGTGTGGATGGAGCCTGTTTGAGATTCTCTCTCTCTCCTTCTCCCTCTGCTCCTCCCCCACTTGTACTTGCTCTCTCTCAAAAAGAAATAAGTGAAGTAAAATAAGACAATGCTTTTCAATTAATCACTTAATGCAAAGAAAATGTAAGGAATAATGCAAGAATAATCTGCTAATAAATTATAAAACCTGGAAGAAATAGAAGGTTTCCATGAAAACATAAATGACCAAAATTAATTGAATAAGAGCTACATAAACCAAATAGATGGATTGTTTAGGGGAAAAAAGTGGTAAGATTTTCTAAGGACTGCCTCTCAAAATCATCCAGGCCCAGAGAGTTTCATGCATGAATTATTTTTAGCTTTTAAAAACAAGATGATGTTAGTGTTGAAACTTGTTCCAGAATAGAGGAGAAAAGAAGGCGCTCCATTTTTTTAAAGGGAACTATGTAATACAATCCTAGGACCAAAATATAAAACAGATATATCTAAATATATAACAGAAAAAAGAAATCAGGGGTTACTAATCATTTTTCATGTCATAGACTCCTTAGTCTGGTGAAGCCTATGAATTGCTTCCCAGAGTAAAGCTTTATAATCTTTAAAAAAAATTACACACACACACACACACACACACACAGTTACAAGGAAATCAAGTATCAAGTATATATTTTAAGTGAGATAGAATAATATATATATATTTTTTGAGAGTGTGTGAGTGGGGGAGGGGCAGAGGGAGAGGGTGGAGGGAGAGAGGCAGGGGGACAGAGAGAGACAGAGAGAGACAGAGAGAGAAAGAGAGAGAGAATCTTAAGTAGGCTCCACACCCCTGTCAGAGGACTCCATCTCACCACCATAAGATCATGAGATCAGGTTATCATTTGAGCCAAAATCAAAAGTTGGATGTTTAATGAACTGAGCCACCCAGGCCTCCCAAGAAAAAGTATTAAAATAAATTAAATACTTAGTGGCATACCTTATCATTATAATAAGTGTGAAGTAGTGATCAGCAGTAGTTACACTTTAGTAGTGATGAAGCAGTAATTACATTTTAAAATTTCTATAAAAACTGTAAAATAACTTGAAAATATCCAAGATTTCTATTGTGACAACATCTTAAATACGGCTAACACTTCTGTGGTTTAGTTAACAATGGAAGAAAATGCTACATTTACATTATAGGTTAGTGAAAACTTTTTCTCTCATCAAGTTTCTGGACCATCTAGTTATGGACTTCAGGAAAAGTATGCCTCTGCTTACATACCCAGCTCATTCATGAATACTGATGCAGAGATTTTCATTATTAAAGTCTGTATACTTACAAAGTGAGCAGGAAAGAAATATTAGAAAACGCTAGTATTTTCACATTATGAGATTTTTTTCTTTCCCATTCTTTGACAATTAGTCCCCAACACAAATACTCCTTTCCACTTAATAATAGTATCTACTCTTGCTCATCACATTGGCCTCTCAGGTTCTCGGATGTGATGCTATGTGTGGTGAATATCTTAATATGCAATATAAACTAACTGCAAAGTAAAACTGAAAATCCTATAAAAATCAAAGAATTTTCATATAGTCTATGGAAAGTGATGTTTCAGAATGGTGAGATTCATGCCGGAAGGCAATGGTAGATAAGGCTGTGGCGGAGTTAGATCTGTTAACAGTTGAACAAAAGAAATTTGATATAGAAAAATGACATGACAGTTATTTTAAGAGAAAAATTTGAATATTAATGTATTAGGAGAGGCCCTTGAGAAACTGAAGTCTCAAACACTTGCTAAAAATACCCTATAGAAAACTGCACTAGACTAATAAAAAATAAAATATGTAGTATTCTGGCATAGAATTTTATCTGAAAAAATGATTTTGTTCTAAAACCTAGTGTCTATGACAAAATAACAAAATGCATTCAATAAAGATGTTCATAATTTTAGTCGTGTTTTTCAAACCCTTTCCCTTTTTAATGTGTTTTTTAAATTTATTTCTGAGAGAGAGAGACAGACAGACAGACAGCGTGAGCAGGGGGAGGGTCAGAGAGAGGGAGACACAGAATCTGAAACAGACTCCAGGCTCTGAGCTAGCTGTCAGCACAGAGCCCGATGCGGGGCTCGAAATCACAAACCGTGAAATCATGACCTGAACCAAAGTCGGATGTTTAACTGACTGAGCCACTCAGGCGCCCCTCCCTTTTTAAATATTAGCAAAATTTTGTCCTCGTTTTGAAGAATTCATTTTATGTGGACCTTTCCAGGTAGCAAAGACACTCAGATAACAGGAAATTCTATACTATTCAACATTATTATAAGAAATACCCACTGTGAGCAAGTGGAAATTTTCCCAGGAGTACAACAATGGGTATATTATTAGAAAGTCTATTTTGTTTTATTCTATTAATAGGGAAAGGAAAGTAACTATGATCATTTCAATATTTTTAAAAGGCACTTAAGTTTAATTTGTAATGCAATTAAAAACTGTCCGAAAAGAATAGATTGTCTCCTTAACATGACTAAAACACTATGCCCACAAGTCAAAAGCTGAATGGTAAGTTTTAAAAACTAACAAATCCCATTAAAGTTAAAAACAAATAAGACCGATTATCACCTCTATTAGTTGCTATCATCCTGAAAGTGCTTGCCAAAGTTGAGAGAGAGAGAGAGAGAGAGAGAGAGAGGAAAGAAAAAAGAAAAGAAAAGAAAAGAAAAGAAAAGAAAAGAAAAGAAAAGAAAAGAGAAAAGAAAAGAAAAGAGCTATCAGGAAAAGAGGAGGCAAAGATGTCATGATTTGGAGTTATTTAATATATGACTAGAAAACTCAGGAGAAATTAGCTTAATCTACTAAAAACAGGGTTCAATAAGATGGACAATGATAAATCATTAAAAGTCAACAGTCTTTAGTATATAAAAAGAACAATTTAGAATATATAATAAAACTATATCCCCATTCATAAAGCTACCCAAACTATCTAGGAATAACATGTCCAAAGAACTGGAAGATTTATATGAAGAAAATTATAACCCCCCACAATTGAAGAATATGATATGTAAAAATGAAGTTCTTAAATAGAAAGATTTAATACTACAAAGTTGTTCATTCTTTCTAAACTAACCTCTAAATTCAACAAAATCCCAATAAATGTCCCTAAATGTGGCCTTTAAACTCAACAACTTTTTCAAAATTTAGTTGGTACCACAGATATTTCAAAACTGTCCAAAAATTCTAATGAAGGAAGACTTGTCCTACATGTTAAAACATATTCTAAAGTTACAATGATTGACACAATGTGCTCCCACCTCAAGAATAGTCCAAAGCCAGGGGCACCTGGGTGGCTCAGTTGGTTAAGCCTCCGACTTGGGCTCAGGTCATGATCTCACATTTGTAGGTTTGAGCCCCACATCAGGCTCTGTGCTGACAGCTCAGAGCCTGGAGCCTGCTTCGGATTCTTTGTCTCCCTCTCTTTCTGCACCTCCCCCACTCATGCTCTGTCCCTGTCTGCCTCTCAAAAAATAAAACATTTTAAAAAATTTTTAATAAAAAACATAAAAAAAGAAGAGTCCAAAGTCAGAAATCAATTTTGCTTAAAGAGAACATAGTTCAAATCAGTGGGAAATGATAGATTATTCATAAAGAGTGTTTAGACACCAGTTAGCTTTTTGAAAACTATCTTTTACTTCACTCCTAATACCAAAATAATCTCAAGTAAATGTTAAAGAAAAAATTATTGAAAAATAAGAAAACATACGGAAAAATATATAGTCCTAGGATAGGGTAAGAATAACAATACTCTAAAACCATAAAAGACTCACAGATCTGCAATTTAAGAAATTTAAAGTTCTATTTGGCAAAAGACACAAAACAGAAAGGTCAACAAAACAAACTGGGGGAAAAAGGATTAGCAACACATGACAAAGGGTTACTATTTATAATATATGGAAATTAATAATAAGGGATGAACAAACTAGTAAAAATGGGGCAGAGGATATCAAAAGGCAATTCATAAAAGACAGACAATAAACACACTGGATGTCTAATCCTATCCAAGATGGACATGTAAGAATCAGGAGGTAAATGCCATTTTACTTATATTGGCAAATATTATAAGGATTGCTCATGTGCCTATACTTGCATGGGAATGGGAAAATAGCCACCTCCCCTGGTGGCTGGTAGGAGTGTAAATGGGCTCCAGTCCTGGCTCTGCCACCTTCCGGCTGTGTTTACCCTG